GGAGGGGGGGGGGGGGGGGGGGAATCATCAGGAATGAATGCAGGTTGCTATCCCTTCAGGGCATTTTCCTCGGTGGTGCAAACTGAGTAGGTCATTCGACTTCTAAGATAAGATTTAAATAAAAAAATCCGCTCCGTCAATTAACCGAATGTTGGATTTTTCGTGTTAGAGGAGAGTAGCCATGGTCTCAAAGAGCCCTTGCCCACAATGCAGTACAAGGGTTCAGGTTGTCCAAAATTACCTGTCCTGACGGCATTAAATGGTGCACACTATTGTAGGTAACCCGATATTTATAGCATATTAATGAGTTGGCATAAGTAGTTGTTGTATCTCAGATTCAGCTATGAACATCAAGAAGCAGTAAGAAACTTGCGTACAGAATTTAGTTTTGATCTCAATCTTAGATAACAAAGGAACTCACAAAAGCAGCATATCATTTCCAAAGCATTTCTGGAGCAGGACTTCTCAAGAAAGCCAATTAATTAGCGAAAACGTTTTGAAAATGGAGTTTCTAAACATGAAAAATATAGGGAAAATGATCGTTAGAGATGAATTACGAAAAGAAATAAGCGATGTTTGATGTTTGAGTGATAGCTGCAGTAGCCCAAGAACGGCATGCAAAACACTGTAATGATCTGCAGCCAAAAGCAGTTGTGCCTCTTCTTTTATGGACTTGATACACAATCATATATCCCAACAGATTCTAAGAAAATTGTTTAGCACAAATTCTTTCTCAACTTGGAAGTTTGAAGGGTTTTTTTTTTTTTTTTTTTCTTTTCTGGCCATAAACAGGCCTTAATTCTTGTCCACAACAACAATTCGAAACTATTGATTACAATAATTGTGGACCCGCACCAGCTCATGAAATCTAACCACATCTGAAAGAAAATTACCAATGAATCCAGTTAGTCAAGTCCCCTGCTCATTAAGAATCCAAGTTAACACCAATTTTTGGCTTGATTTCACTTCCTTTTCATGTTTAGTTCATGTATATAGTAAGCTTACACCTCCACCCCTCCCCTATATATACAAAAGCAAATTGTCAAAATCAAATAGTTCTCTGCTCCGTCATGGCTTCTGTTCATCACCTATTGATCATAGCTTTCTTCATATCGATTCCACTTTCATGCACTACAGTTGCCTCAGCAACTCGGCATCTTCTTCAGAGTGCTAAGAATGTTCCTCCGTTGCCTAGGCCAAAATTGCCTCCTTTGCCACCCAACTTGACTTCCACACCAACAACACCAGTACCAACGCTGCCATCCCCAGCTGAGACTTTCGGACCGCCCACGTTATCATTGGTTCCTCCAAGCATCTCTGTGTTAACACCGCCAAATCCACCAAAAACACCTCCAGTTACATTAGATCCCCCAACATTGCCACCACCAACCGCCATGTCACCACCAAAGGATGAAACGCCACCACCGCCAGCCTCCATGTCACCACCAAAGGATGAAACGCCATCACCGCCAGCTTCCATGTCACCACCAAAGGATGAAACGCCACCACCGCCAACCTACATGTCACCACCAAAGGATGAAACGCCACCATCGACTAGCTCTAGGTCACCTCCTCTGCCTAACCCTATATCGCATAAATTGCCCACCTTGCCCAAATTCCCACCGGTCAAGTCCTGGCCTATGCCAAACCCAAAATCATTGCCTCCCATACCCAAATTCCCACATCTCAAGTGGCCTTCCTTGCCACCTTTCCATTTGATACCAAAAGTCCCAAGTGCAAGCCCTTCAAACCAAATCCATAACTAGACCTTGAGGGTCTGTACCTGTCACCATGCTTCTGGTCAGCGCTGGAGGCAGCAGCCACCTGCTGTGATTGTTCTATCTTAGACTAGCCACGGTCCACATGTACCCATAGAGCCTCCCAGTGTATATGGACCATCGATGGACCAAATCAGTCGTGACCATGGTATTACTCCATGTTTGTCGACGATTTTAGCATTGTGCTACGTAGTGTTCAATAAAGTATGGCAAGTCAGTGTTTTTAGTGCTCCTTGTTTGTAGTTGTCGGTCAGACCATGCAACAAAGTGGTTTCTTACTCTGGTATTTTTGGGTCAAACTGAACTGAGTCCCTAAAAAGGTTACAAGAATGTAAGAAGTCAGGATTTTAAAAATGTGTATGCTCTTAATATTAAAAATGCGTATGCTGTTAATAAAATGAAGGAAAATTTATTATTGAAAGAAAGAAAATAAATAAAATATTTGTAATGATAGAGAGAAAATTAGAAAATATTTACGTGTATTACACACAACAAAAGAAAAGAAAACAAAGATGATAAAATGAAAAGAAAAAAATTCTTGGAAACATAATTGCGATGATTCACGTTAAATGTTTGTTTTAATGTAAAAACAAAGTGTAAATATAGTTAACATGTTTTTTAAAATAATAAAATTAATTATTATATTAAAAATCAATAATTATGTTTAATAAAATAAATTTAGAATTATCCGTTTATTAAAAAGTATTGCTAATGTTAACTAAAAAAAGATTAGGTTGAGAAATTAAAAAATAAATATAAATTAAAATATTTAATTTTATATCATAAGATCTCTTAAGAAAACTTTCATTTGATTTTACAACAATATATTTTTTCCAGAGAAGTAATAATTTAAATTTCATTGAAATATAGTAATTTATTTAAAGGTAGTGTTTGATATTATAGTAGCGTTTATTTTTTAAAGTATTTTTTAATTAAAAATATATCAAAATAATATTTTTTAATTTTTTTTTAAATAAAAGTATATTAAAATAATATAAAAAATATAAATTTTTAAAAAATAAAAAAATAAATATTAACCCAGAGGTTAACTTAGTGGTTAGAAAAGTTTACTTGCTTTTGAGGTTTAAATCTTAAAAGCGTTATCTTAAAATCGTCTCAGATAAAATTTAGTTTCAATTAATACACATAATACCAAAAAATACTCATAATTATTAAATAAAAAATCCAATTAATTTTTCAAATAATATAAACCATCAATAAGTATAAAATAAAACACAAATGAAGGCCCAACAAGCCAGAAATCTCTTAAATAAAAGCTTGTTTAGAAATATTATAGTAATTTTTTTTTAAAATAATTTTTTGTACTAAAATGTATATTAATAATATTTTTTATTTTTTAAAAATTATTTTTTAATCAATATACTAAAATAATTTAAAAAACATTAAAATAATTTTAAAATATTAAAAATATATTAATTAAAAATAAAAAATTAATTTTTTAAAAAATATTTTTAACACACAAAAACAAAAATAAACAGATATTAAACGTAACCAATAATAACGAGTGGATGTAAAAATTCAAATCTAAATACTGAAGAATAAACACTTACTTTTATATGGGCTTAGGTTCAACTCCACGAATGGAAAGTCCAGGCCCATATCCAATATCAAAACCCGACCCGACTCGACTCCTGCCCAACACTACAATGGTCATTTGTTCTCTGCTTTCTCTCAAGCGCCAAGGCACGAGGAAAGCTAGCTATCCCGGTCGGAGATTATCGTGATCACCTTTAGGATATGAGTCAATCCTTTTAAATTAGTAGGTAACATCTCAATCCAATCACTCCTATTTCTTTTCCTTTTTTTTTCATCACCGTTCCTTCCAAATTCAAACTTTTCTTTCTTTCCTCTTTGAAAATTATGTTTTCTTCGTTTATTTATTTTCCAAGCAAGAATTAAAGTACGGTTTGTTTAGTGCTTATTATTTCAACGAAATTATGTTTCCTTTTTAGTAATTTTGGCTTTATTTTTTTAATTTCTTTTCTCTTCGATTTGTGGTTTTTATTTTCGATTTTTTAAATTTTGCTTTATTCAGTATTTTATAGGTCTCTGCTAGGGTTTGAGTTATGGTTACCTACACAAGCTTCTTTTTCAATTGGAAATTTAAAATTTAGGAGAATTTTTATTTTTTTAATTTATTTCATGGAGAGTTCGAGTGCGGTGTACTGCTCACTGTTTCAACGAACTTAAATTTCTAAATTTGTAGTATTTTTGGATTAAATTTCTTATTTCTCTTCTTTTTTGTGTTTTTTTTTATAAGTTAATCTGTGGTTTCCATTTTCGAATTTCGATGATGTAGTTTTTTTTAGCTCCCTTTTTAAAACTTCTTCTCATTTGTTTTCTGTTTTCCACGTGGATTTTTATGAAATGAAGTAAATAAAAAACTGAATTTTAAATAGTTATTCAGTTGTTTTTTTTTTTCCTTGTTTTTATAGCTGAAAGCTGGAGTTTTTCCATTTTGATGATTATAGGCAAAACTGTCTTTAAATCATGGGCGGAGGTGGCTATGACTCCGGAAGTGCTTCTGACGATGGTAAATTGGTTATTTGACGCAACAGCATGACGAGATTTGATTGTTTTATGCTCATTGTTATAATAATCACTGGTTGAATTCTGTATATAAATGCGGCTTTTGAATGCTTTCTGGAGTTGTGTGTCTTCTTTGTCATGGATGGTGAAGGGCATTGTTGTTTTGTACTCGGACACGGTGTTGTAATAGATATAGGTAGAATTATGATGGCCCTGGTGTGTTGACTGCTTGTGTAATTAAAGTCTGTAGTCTTTGGTTTTAATGGCTGTAGTTTAAGTTGATTTTGTTCCCGTAGACCTTGTGAAACACAAAACTGTGAAAATCAAATTGGTAAAAAAAGAAGAAGAAAGAAAAGAAAGAATTGGGATGTGTTTCTTATATGTATTCAAAATTAGTTGCTTTTCTTTTTCTTCCGTATGTTTTTTTTTTTTTATAACTCCCACATGTGGTCATCCTATCCTAATTTTTGGATGGCTGTTGGACAGATGATGATGAGGAATATGAGGAAGCTGGTGGTAACCGATTTTTGGGTTTTATGTTTGGGAATGTTGATAATTCTGGTGATCTTGATGCTGATTACCTTGATGAGGTGAGCTTATGTCTCTTTTATATTTGATCTTTTATTTCTGGTATTACTTGCCGTAAAAGGTTTCATAAACATGCACATGTATTGCACGTGACAGTTGGCATCCCTTTAAAACTGAGATTGAGCGAAAGCAGTACTATTTATTTGAGACAGGAAAAAAAAACAAAACCATAAGAGGCTTAGGCTGGTGAAATGAAGAAATAACAGTGTCTTGAGAATTCAAAGATGTAAAATAAACTTAACTTCATTGGCAATGGTCATTTGTTGTGGCTTGGTACTTGGGAGGTGAGATTGAGTGAAAAAGTTTTCAAATCTCAATATGAAAACCTCTGATGGGCCAGATTGTTAAGTGGATGAAATTTGATCTTTTCCTAAATTCTTTTTTTTCCCTTTTTTTTTTAAATCTGGTAAATGTGTGTGGTTCAGCCGTGAGCAGTATAGACAAAGTCAGTTTATGACATCTTAGAAATTTCAAGTCATGTTCAGGCATGCAGTAGCTTTGTTTTGCAGCAACTTCCATGTTCTCATCCCATAATGCAACTGAGTTGTGGGCTTGCTGCGTTTAACATACATTCTTCTTTTGCTTTTAACAAGGAACATCCTTGTTTGTTATTATGGTAGATTTTCAGTTTGATATTCTCACTTGTGGTGCTAAACTATATAATTTCAGGATGCAAAGGAGCATCTTGCCGCATTAGCTGACAAGTTGGGTTCGTCGCTAACCGAAATTGATGTATGGAAAATTTGTATCATGTGTTATGTGTTTTAGCTTTCCGTTCTCAATTATGCTTGGGCAGATTTCTTCCCTTTTTTTCTTTTGGCTTGACACTATAATCTCATGCTATTCTATTTTCAGTTGTCAGTGAAGTCACACCAAACATCCACTGACGCTGCAGAACAAGGTGATGTTGTCTGCCAGGAAAAACTATGTCATGCAGTTTTTTTATGTTGTGTTAGTATCTTTGGTTCTTTAACTAAACAATCGCTCTCTCTCTCTCTCTGTTGTTTTTTGTTTGTCTTGACTTGCATTTACTGGTAACACTTTAAGAAGCTCTGTTTGGATTCTTCTACTAATCTGGCATACTGGTTAATGAAACATAAATTGTCCTGCCTAAGATGCTTTGCAAGTTATGAACACTTGTTTTATTTCTATTATTGTATGTCAAGTATGCTGGGAAGCTTTCCAATTTGATCATATGGCTCTCTCTTATGATGACACTTCTGTCTAAAATATAAAACTTACTTTTAAGGAACATAATCAGTAATCTCAAGTTTTGAGGCATGCATAGTCACCAGAGCAATGCCTGGATTAACGTGAAGAAACAATTGGTTGAATCCCAAGAAACCATTTCATAGAAGTAAATCGACTTTGATTCTTGAGAAATAATTTTTTGGGGTATCTTTAGCTTTTTGAATAATAATAATGAGACTTAGAAAATAATGAAAGATTAGGTTGTCATGAATATGCTGAAAGATATTTGTTAAGTGGATGAAAGTATGCCGGAATGCACATGCAACCTCCCAGCAAAGACATCAAGGATCCGAATAATGAAGACTCTTAATCCTGTAGAACTCTCAGGAAACACCTTAAAACCACCCAAAGCATGATACCATAGGAATGCAAAGAAACTATCTGATCTGACAACATTTGTCCTTGGTGGCAAAGCCCATAATGTTATTTCTTTTTTCCTTTTATTGTTGATTTTTTTTTTTTTTTTTTTTTTTTTTTTGTGGGAGGTGTGGAAAATACATCTTTTTCTGTTGTATATAACTATTGTCAGTATGAATATATTGGGGAATTGGGGAAACATAGTTCTTCGTAAATAATGTTATCCCAATTTCAAAGTACATTCAGAATGATAATAGTCACATGCTATTGCGGAAACTAATGCATGTCCAGCTCTTTAAATAAGTTAAATAGAATTTCTTGAACCAACATTTACATGAAAGAAGAAAAGGAGCATTAACTGAATCTAAGACTATGCTTGATGTTTTTTAAAACACTGGAAATTATTGGTGGTTGGAGTTGAGACTGAATTTTCAGAATGGGAAGAATTTTTCAAGTAACTCAGATCTCTGCTCTTATCCTCAGTGATAATTGATAAAAAATTGGGAGTATCATTAGTTTGTGATTAGGAGAATCTAACAGTCTGGTTTTTTCTGTACATCTAGTAGAAGTCAGTGTGAAGCTAATCAGGTTTGTAAGTTCTGTTATGTTAATATTTGGTCTGGCCTAGCCAAATGAAAGGTTCTAGTTAAATATGCTTGGTTTTACTAAAAATACTCACTAATGAATTTATTTCTGAAAATGGTCATGTCATTTTCAGGCTTGGATAGGTTGTCTTTTTGGGTTTTCCAAAATATTTTTTTGTCAAGTTCAAGCCATGTCAGAGATTTCCAACCATTCCTCTGGCAGCATGTTCTATGCTGCAAGAACAAATTATACACCTTTTGGAATGGACTTGTGATTAAGAGCTCAAACAAACAGTCAAAAGTTTGTTTTAATGATTTTGCTGCCCGCTTTTTGAAGACACCTTAGGTTTTAAGCTACTAAGTCTGATTTGTTCAACCTAATGTTTGCAAGTGTTGGACTTGTTAGATAAGCTACTTCATTTCTTGTCCTCTTACTAGAATTTGACTTCAAATACTTCTATGTATTAGAGATTAATATAAAACCATATTTGGAGCTTCATTTAACAACGTAAACTTTTGAGTTGAATTAGTTCTTTTGATATGGTATCAGAACCTTGATGACTAAACGGTTATAAATTTGAATTTCGCCACTCATTCTGACTAATTAAATTAACAACATTAAGCACGAGGTAATGATGGATCTATGCAAGTTTCACACTCTAAAGGCTTTCAATTGAGGAGGTGTATTAAAGAGTAATATAAAATCATTTTTGGAACTTCACTTAACAACTGAAGTTGTTCAGCTTTTGGATTAAATTGGTTCTTTGACATTGTGTTTGTCTAGTTGGGGTTAATTTGACTCCTTTTCTTACTATTGGGGCTCTTCTTATGAATACTTCTTGGATTTGGGATTTATGCCTTGATGCATATTTTGATGGTGTCCAATGGTATTCTTTCTTGCATATGTAGATAAGCATGCATCCATAAAATGTTGTGCATTTATGTGTGTGTCAAAATATGTGGATTCCACACCATCATACTCATGCATAATGCTGTTTGTGTTTAGGTAACTTGTAGTTTCTCTTGTGGCTTACCCCATTCAACCTTCTGATTATAAGTTTACTTTGTATTTGTGCTGCTAGATTATGATGCAAAGGCTGAAGATGCAGTTGATTACGAAGACTTTGATGAACAATATGAGGGGCCTGAGATTCAAGGTGTTAGTGAGGAGGACTACTTGTTGTCAAAAAAGAATTATATTTTGTCTGAATCCACATTGCAGCCTCCTACATCGGACAATGAAGATTATGATGAGGATGTGGAAGAGGAACTTGAAAAGGAACCTGTAGTTTCAGATAAAATTCTTGAATTTCAAACTGCCTATCTATCAGGTTTGCTTTTGGGTGATTCACATTGGTTCATTTTAATTACATACATACATACATACATACATATATATATATACACATACATATATATATATATATATATAAACGTTTGATCTGGGATATATGTAATCATTTTCCATGTAAGATATTGAATGTCGTAGCTCTCATCTTTTAAGGTTTTATTACTCTCAGCTGATTCTGTGGTTTTAGTGGTTCAGATACATTCTTTCCTTAACCCCTCTCAAGCTTTTATATTGAAATCTTTAATTTTAAAAGATTGGAATTCTGAATTTTGACTTTGTGATGTTTCTCATTTTCACTGCTGGTCAGATCAGAACTTGGTTTCTCTGAAAAATGCTGGCATTTATATTCTCATTTGTGTTTGTTTTCATTCATTTGATCCATTTTTCCTTTGGTTACATTATTTTTAGGTTATGGTGATTCTCTAAAGTTTGTGGGGCTTGTTCTGGTGTTAAATAAATGTTGGATATCTTTTTGCATTTTTCTCATCAATAATTGTAGCCAAGGGATATTATTCTGATTGATCAGGTTCTATCTGAGATTTTAGGAGAGTGTGCTGTATTTTTGTAGCATACACATTATGCTTCCTCTGTCAACACTTGGGTTAAGAGGTTTGCTGGTGATGCGACTTCTTGGCCTTTGTTTTTCTTTTTTTCTTATTTTTTTCCTGTTTTATATGATTATATCTCTGTTTCAAAGAAGTAGCTGTCTTTTTCTCATGTTGTACATGCATTTATATCCATATGACATCCAAAAATCTTATATTTTTGCCTCTTTGTTTAGGGTTTGCAAAAACATAGGATGCCATCAGTTCTGTTATGGCAATTTCTTGGCATTAGAATTGACTTCTACCTGACCGGACCCACCTTTTGGATAATATCAATTGTGAGGAATGGACTTTGTTTATGTCAAATACAGCTTGGATTATCTAAGACACCAAGTCACCAATGTGTGACTGTCAGATAAACCAAAATATGTTGTTGGAGGAAATCTTTGGGTATAAGATGTGCATTAACTCAGACATGCTGGGCTTGCTGGTCTGGTTCAGTCAACTCCTTCTCTGGGAATTAATTTTCCCTGCTAGCTGTCTTGGATCTGAACTCTAGGTAGTGCATTTTTGCCTCAACCTAGCAAATCCTCATTTCAAGTTCTCAGATTCAGCAGCTCTAATTCATTAAACATACTTTTTTTTATCCCACTTTCCTTTTTGTCTTTATCTGTTCTATAGCCCACAAATGTTTCTTGGTGGATCACACCCATTTTGTTGGAACCTGGAAGAGTTTTTGGTATGACGTTCAAATTTTGTATCAGCTGTTTGGGTGGATTTTCTGTGTGAGATTTCAGCAATGTCTGGATTCATTTTTCCCTACATTCAGATTTGTGCTCTCAGGCTGAATGTGTGTGTGCATGAAGTAATTCAAATTGTAGCATCCACCTAGGAGTTTTTGCAGTACAATTGAACCTGATGATTTCTACCAAGCTTTTCTCCAAATTTGAACTTTCTGAGTAGCTCTATGGTCTCTGAGATTTTGCTTAACTGACACAAGAAAAAGACTACAGAATCAAGGAATTTCTTGGAGATAAGTGATAACTCATCTGACTATGCGACCTCACATATATCCTTTTTTTTTTCTCTTAATAAAATTGTTACAAATATTTTATTTCAATTTGAGGTTATTATCCTTGGCTATGGAATAGTCATTTGTTTTTTACCATGAATATCCTTGGCTATGGAATAGTCATTTGTTTTCTACCAAGTTTTTTACCATGAATAAAATCGCACACACACAAGCTTTTCAATTTTCTAGATTGTTCCAGCAAGATTATTTAGTTTAGAATCTCCTTTTCAGGTCAGCAAGATGTTGGAGTAGTTTCAGGAGTAGGAGTAGAGAATTCTTCTCAGGATGATGTAGAACTTGGTTCCATGGATTCTGAAAGTTCTGATGCTAAATCGGAAGATATTCATGAGGTCATTTTACCATATTCTTCAATTTTCTGTAGGTGTTACATATTATTGCATTTGCATTCTAAATGCTGTTGCATGATCTCATCAGCAAATGTTTAGTCTCATTTAAGAAACCACTGTCTATGGACATGTTTAAAAGATGAGTGCAAGCATTTGGATTGTAAAAACATTTGTGCATGTTTGATTAGGATGTCAATAGATGAATGCTAGCAAGTTACTAAAACTTCTATCTGGTATTCACTGTGTGCCAATTCTCTGGAAAGGAACAAAGCTCAAAATAAAAAATAAAAAATGCTCCAATTCTGTTGAGTGTCAGCTAGGGGAACATTCTAAAAGCCCCCAAAGCATTGCATCACAAGGATGCAAAATCTTGATTAAAACAGTTCCCGTGGTTTGTTTAGATCTGGACATCCTCTTAGTTTGCTTACCCCTTGTTTGCACTATCCCATATATTCTGGTGTTATTAGAATATACCTTGGGAGACTATGTTGTTCCACAACTATCTTCTCGATGGGAAGTGATCCTTGAAAAGTTTTACTGGTTTTTTCCATCCAGAAAAACCAGATAGTTGCCAACAAAAGATACGTTTTGTTGAAGTATTGGAACATTTCCTCTTTCCTAAACCCAGAAAGGCAGCTGTCGAGAATTCTGCCATCCTCGTCAAAGAACTCAACATCACCCATGGCACAACTCTAATAGCAAATAATCACATCCCACACTTTTTTGAGGAATGGAGGAAAGAAGATGGTACAGAGATGGAAAACATGTTTATGCTTCAAACCTGGGAGTTAATTTGCTGCTTGCACTTCTGAAATGTTAACCTGATAAATCTTGATTGTCTGTTAATCAAAGACATACAATGTTTTCTGTGTGACATGGTCAATAAAATATGGCAAGGTGTAAGTGTGCATCATCTTTGACCCAAGATTCTGAATAATTCTATTGCATCTTTTTGCAATAGTTATCTTGTTGCTCTGTGTCTTATTGAGGTCTTTATGCTGAAGCAGGAGGAAGCTGATCATGTCAAGGGGCCTTTAGATGGTAAAGGTCCCAGTCCACTTCCTATTTTGTTTATAGAAGATGGGATGGAGATCTTAAAGTTTTCTGAAATATTTTCTATCCATGAACCTTTGAAGAAAGGACAAAAAAGAGATCACAGATATTCCATTTTCAAAGGTATGGTCTCTTGCTTTCGGTATTTTCTTTCAGGCGTGATGTTTCCATCTCATAATTGTTCAACTTGTTCTAGCAATGTCACAGTGAATAGAACATGTGCACCACCTGTGCAATTTGCAGTGTACATTCTTCTTTTCATTTCTTTTTAGTTTCTAGTTTCTTGGTTTTGCTTTTCAATAATGAGGAAGCATTGTCTATTAATTCAGTGCCTGTCATCTTATGGTTTGCTTTTCTCTTGATTTCTGTTTTAACTTTTTTGTTTAACTCATTTTCAGAGAAGTATACATCTATGGATGCTTCTGATATCGTTGAGGAAGATGAAGAGGTGTTTTTAAAGAACTCTGGTCAACTGTTTCCATCACATTTGCTTGTAAATCAACATGACATCTCAATCTTGAGCGAAGATGCTGCAGAATTAGCAAGATTTGGAACTGTTCATGGAGCTATTAAAATGTCTGTTCAAATTGAGGAACAAAGAAAGAACTCTTATCTTAGTGCTGAACCAATGAATGAGGAAGTGGAATGGAAGTCTCCAGTGCATTCAAAATTCTACCCCCTTGATCAGCTAGACTGGGAAGAGAGAATTCTTTGGGACAATTCCCCAGCCATCAGTGACAACTCTGTAGAGAGTTTTGATCTCTCAGGACCTGACACTGGATCTTCATTTATTAGGGAAAGTGAACGAGTGACTAGTCCACAGAATCTTTGTTCGGAGCTCCCAGTGGAGTTAAATGATAACACTAGTAACTTTCTTTGGAACAGGTCTTCTGTTCTCTTGGAGTCCTTTGGCTCAGAAGACTCTTCAGAACCCGGAAATCTTCCATTCTCAGAAAGCAGATGCCATCCACAACTTCTGAGATTGGAATCTCAGATGGAAGTGGATAGCTCTAGTCATGTTGATGATAGAAGAGAGAATAATAGTGCGGAGCTTCATGAAAGTGATGTTGTAAGGCGTTTCAGCAAGCTCACTTTGCAAAATAGAGATTTGATGGAAGGATCTTGGTTAGATAATATAATATGGGAACTGAATGAAACTAACATAAAGCCTAAGCTGATTCTTGATCTTCAAGATAAGCAGATGCTCGTTGAAATTTTGGATCACAGGGATAGTAAGCATCTCCAACTTCATGCGGGGGCAATGATCATAACTCGAACCCTAAAGCAAAGGGTTTCTCATGAGCTACTAGGCCATGGAAATCGATCTGGTTGGCAATTCAACATTGCTAATGACAAGTTCTACATGAACAGGAAAATTTCTCAGCAATTGCAATCAAATTCTAATAAACGAACTGCATATGGCATTAAAATACATCACTCTGCGCCTGCGATAAAGCTTCAGACAATGAAATTGAAGTTGAGCAAGTAAGTTTTAGTGGCCTACCATGTAGTAGGGTTTTTTTTAAGCTCTCTCATTTCTGTGGTCTTATTGACAGTTATTCTTCAATTCTTGAGAAGATTAGATGGTGCTGGGTTTCCCCTTTCAAAAGCTATGTTTGATCAATTTAGCATATTTAAAGCCTTTTTTCAATTCATAATTTTCAGTATTTTAATATAAGATAGCCTATCCAAACTCACAGTGAGGGATAGAATCACTTAAGAGGGAAAACATCTTATGAGTAGAAGTGATGTACTTCTGTGAGTTGAAGGTATTATTTTTGCAGGGTAAAAGGAAAAAGGGCCAGATTAATACTAATGGATGACCATGGATGATAATGTAGTGATTTTTGATGAAGGCAAGAAATCAATCATGAATTTTTTATTTGAGTTACTCGATATGAGTGCCTTGTTACTTACCAAAAAAGGAAAAGGGTGTTGTGATAGCTCGGCGTTTGTGATATTGACTTGGATTTTCTTATTGATCATATACATCTATGAATTTGATATTGATATTTTGATTCGAAGCCATTTGTTTGGTGATTCTTTGCCTGTTTGTTTTCTTTTATTTGAAATGTTTATTCTTCTTAAGTTTGCATCTTATGTTACTGGAGCAAGCACCTATAGCAGTGCTAGGCACCTCAGGCAAGAGGAAGCCTAATCATCTTAAGGCTCCATGCTCTTTAGTATAATTGATTCTGGTGTTTTTCTTGTTTTCTTTTCAGCAAGCTGTATTGCTTCTAATATATGTCGTGTTTTCTTGACTTGAATGTAATTCAAGTCTGGATTCATGATATATATTTTACCTATCAATTCTATGTCCTGCATTTTCTATATATTCCTTTTGAATATAATCCACTGTTTTTGCAGTAAAGATTTAGCTAATTTTCATCGACCAAAAGCTTTATGGTATCCCCATGACCATGAGGTGGCTGTCAAAGAACGAGGTAAGCTACCTACAGTAGGACCAATGAAAATTATATTAAAGAGCTTAGGGGGCAAAGGAAGCAAGGTACATGTGGATGCTGAGGAAACTGTCTCTTCTGTCAAAGCAAAAGCTTCTAAAAAGCTAGGTTGTAATCACTTTTCTGGTTGTAATATGCCCAATTTATGTTTTAATTTCTTGTATTGTGAATCCACTTTTACAATGTGTTATTTCTAAATTATTTAAGAAGACTAAGAACTTACTTGAAATATTCTTTTTATAGATTTCAAGCCATCAGAAACTGTGAAGATATTTTATTTGGGGAAGGAGCTTGAAGACCACATGTCTCTTGCTGCTCAAAATGTTCAGCCAAACTCCTTGCTTCATCTAGTTCGTACAAAAATTCATTTGTGGCCAAGGGCACAAAAGATTCCAGGTGAAAACAAGTCTCTGCGCCCTCCAGGGGCATTTAAGAAGAAATCTGACCTTTCTGTAAAAGATGGTCACATTTTCCTAATGGAGTAAGTGACAGAAAAATCTTTCTTCTTTACCTGTTTACTACTTAACAAGATTTGTCTAATCTCCCTTGAAGGCATTTAAAAAGTTGTTTTCATGCTCGTAGACAATTTGCTTTTTTACATACATGATACATGCTCAATTGGTAAGCAGAGACTTGCACACTCCAGTTAATCCTGTTTTATTCCCTTTGATATTCTTCCCTTCATTTTCTTTCGGTAGCCTTTTTGTTATACATAATTTTGGAACCAACAGAAGCAATTTTAGATCGAAGGTTTTTATTATTAACACAGATATTCCTGAGATGCTTATCTGAAGTAATTAGTTTGTTTTCATTAATTTCATTTGAAAATGTGATATAAAATAGATAGCTGCTCATGTGCATCAAACCGTCAGTGCATCATTGTCCTAGTGAAACTGAGGAATTTCGTTTGATCATTGATTTGCTACCACTGGTGGTCATATTCATGTGTTGCTGTGTTACATGCCCTCTGTTTTGCTCTACTTTCTCCTTTGTTTCCTCCCTCTTGCTATTGCATGTCCTTTATTTATCTTCACTGTTTATATATATATATATATATATATATATATATATATATATTCTAAATTCTCTAGTTTTCTTTGTTCCTTTTTCTTATGTTCATATCTTATTTAAAAACGATCATCATTCTTGCAAAATCTGTATACAAGACATTTTTAAAATCCTTCTTCCAAAACAAATTTTCCACTACTGCCTCAAGTAAATGAGTTCTAAAACATCCTCTGCTCATCCTTTCTCTGATAACATGTTGTTGGCAGCACATAGTAGGGAGGGATGATCTAACTATTTATTCATTACCTTTGAATTTTAGCCATTGGACTGGATATTGATTAAGCACATTACTAAC